TTGTCACGGGAGCTCGGACAGTGGGGCGCCGAGTCGGAGGGAGGAATGCGCCCCACACCAGGCGAGTCCCCCCTTCTGTTCATTGCCTGAGGAAACTGTGTGTCCTTCAAGACCCTGCCTCCCTAGGAATCCTTCCCTGGCCCAGCTCGGTGTCTCTCTCTGACTCTTGACTCTTACCATTCCCCACGGGGTGTTCTTCCGTCTCTTCCCAAGGTCTGCTAGAGACGGGAGGGGCCTTACAGTCATCTGCTCCTGCTGTCTGCTGTCACAGGAGAGGGACCCTCTCGTGCCTTTTGGGCCCAGGGTGCTGCTATTTTCGCATCATCCTCAACTTTTCATTTATGTCTGCCTCATCTCCAAGTAGATGATACACTTTTTTTTCACCTTTCTATTTTAGATTTAATTAAAGATTCTTAAGAGCAGGGATCAAATCTTTTTCTCCTTTTTGTCTCCCTACCATCCAATATAATGCTTGGCACAAACATAGAAATTCAACAAATATTTGCTGATTGGCTGTCCTGCACGTCCAGGAGCCCATTGTCATGAATTCCCCCGCCTCCATCACAGTTAACCCGCCTCCCACACCAGACCTGGCTGTGCTCGGCCCTGACAGCCACACTGCCGCTGTCCCTGCCTCCCGGGCCGCGTCACCCCTGGCGCTCCCTACCGCCGGGTCTGGAGGGCAGCACAGGGCCTCGCTCCAAGGGGATGGGCTCGGAGCAGAGTTCCTTTCATTTCATTGCTGCAGTCTAACTGCAGTTAGTCTTGGAGTCTGACTGGAATTAGGCCCGAACACCCAGCCCCGGAGGGATGATGAAGTGACTGTACGTGAGTGCTCTTGCCCTTGGGCCCCTTTTATGTATCCATAAGTGCTCATGTAAAATAAAGGGACAGGTTCTAAAGACCTAGCCCCACTGGGGTGGTGGCCTCATGCTCGCCTGAGGGCCGCTGCCACACCCATCCCACCGTTTCATTGAGCTATGCTTCCAGCAGAGGCACTGAGAATCTGTTGGTCCTGCCCCCAGAGGACCCCGAGAGTTGATGGTGGTGGCGGGGGGCATTCTGCACCCCACGCCCCCGAGCTAGTCTCCAATCCACAGATCTGAGAGTTGGGTTCATGACATTAGACAGAAAGCTGTATCTGGCGGGTGCTTGCCCACCTACGTCCCCTACCTCCTGCACTGTCAGGACTCAGCATCATTATTTCCATTGTCAGAACATGCTAAGTAACAAAGGCAGCGTGTGATTCATCCAGTCGCTTTACTGAGGGTCTACCATGTGCCTGCGTATATCCATTCAAATAATCAAGTGTGAATTGATAAGTGCAGAAATACATAACAGTGTAAATCCTTGCTCATAACAGAAAACAGTTGTGTTCGTGGAAACTAAAAGAACCTGTTCCAAACCTCCTGCTCTGTCCCATGGAATTTCCCAACAAGTTACATGGATGTAACCTACAAAGCCGTCTAAGAGGAGAACCCCATCTAGGGAGCACTGACAGAGGTTAACAGGCAACAGAAGCGGTTAAAGGTTCCAAAGTCAGAACAGCGGACAGGGAGTTAAGGCAGGGAGAGTCCCTCCAGTGAACTCCATCAATGGAGCAGAACCAGACGTATGTTCTCAACAGATGGGGCCATTTCCAAGTGGTAGTGAGGTCCACGTTGACCTAATCCCTTTCCTCTCCATTTATCAGCCACATCCTATGTCTTTCCTGACCACTCTGCCTGCAGAGCAAGCCACTAAAATAGTGTATATCCAGCTTTTTCAGCTACTGGCCATGTGGGAAGATCAAAAACTTCTTGAGGTTGACCTTCTCTCAGAGAATTGATCACTGGACTTAATCAGAATGGTGTACTTGTGATGAGAAGAAGCATCTCCATTTTTAAAGTATCCTATGTAGATACAGTTTATATGAGTCCTGGGGTAACCCCAATCACATCCAGAGCTTTGGGTTACGAGATGATGACTCAGTCCCCATCTCTAGCTCAGAAATTTCTATCGAGCTCCAGATCGTGGTTCCAAGTGCTATAATGTCCCACAGGCAGCTCAATTTGAACTCTGCACACACATATATTTGCTAGCCTAAACCTAGATTTTAGTAAGTGACAACAAGGCATACCCAGGTTCCCAAACAGGAAACTGAAAACATACTTGAGGTTCAGGCAGGCCGGTTCTGATTTGTTGGGACTTGGGTCATTTGAAGCTTTCTTTAGCTCTCACACTCCCAGGCCATCACCCTTGCCTTGGCTAGGCCCCACAGCCCCAGAGATTCTGTGCAAGCCCAGGGTGAGACCTAATGCACCCCGGGTACCATCACAGAATTCTGTCTGAACCCCAGGGCGCAGCAGGAGGGACCCGGAGTGCTTTGTAATTCCCCCAAGTTTGGGAACCCTGTTCTCCCAAGTAATGGTGCCACCTGTGTTTGTATCCTGTGGCTATCACTACATGCACATGCATGTACACAAGCACAGACATGTGCACAAACACATCCATGTGCACACACAGCTGTGCACAAGTACACACACACACACACACATGGATACATACAAGCATGTGCATGTGCATGAACATACATTTCATTTATGTGGCACCTGCATCCGGGTCACCCCCAATACATGGTTTTCAGTTTCCTCTACAAGCACTCAGTCACGAAACTGCCGTCCACTCCAGCCCTGCTCGCCCTTGCCAGCCCCCTCCTCCCTTCCCCCAGTGACTGCAGCAGACTCCTAACTGGTCCCCCTCACTCCGCACTCTCCTCTGTTCTCCTGACTCAGTGGTCTTTGGAAATGCAGGGCAGAGCCACTGAGTGCCTCAACCCCGGAAACATTCTCTGCTGAAGTTCAGACCTCTCACCTCAGAGAGCAGTGCCCCCCACCATCTGGGGTTGACTTTGGCCCCCCCTCTGGTGGCCAGGCCTCAGATGCAACCTTCACCACCTGAACATGTTCGTATTTAAATCTTTTCCCCAAGTGGGATTATTTCCTTAGGCTAAAATGAAGTCATTAGGTAAAAGGTATGAATATTGTAATGACCCCCTTCCTGTAAGGGAAGTACCACCTTAGAGGCATCCTAGAGTCTGTGGGATGATCCATTTCACTGCTCAGGTGCTTGTTCTGGAGATGATCATTAAAAAACAAAGCAAAACAAAACTTTGCTCATTTGATAAATTATGCTTTGTTACTCTACCTTCTTTCTACTGTTCTTGTTACTGTTCTGCTGTTCTTTATTACAGTTCTTTGGTTATTGGTAGAATTGAGTGTATTTCACGTTCACTGCCCATTTGTTTGTATTCCTCTGCCATCTGACCTTTGGGCTGTTAAGGTTCATCTCTGCCCAATAAAACCTTTCTTCTAGCCCAGTGGTTCCAAAGTGTGGTCACAGGGCCAGCATCATCAGTGTCACCCAAGAACTTATCAAAAATACAAATTATCAGGCCCCACCCAGACCTACTAAACAGAAACTGCAGTGTAGGGCCCAGCAGTCCACTTTCATAAGCCGTTCAGGACTCCAGACCACCCTGCCCCAGACTGTGAGGTATAGAATTCACCTTGAAGCCAGTTGCACAGCAGGGGGGACCCGTGAAGGGACTCAGCCTGCATGGCACCAGTCTTACAGCGAGGAGGGTAAGACTGCAGACTCTGGGATTAGCCTGCCTGGGGGTGGGTGTAGCTTGACTTTACCATTTATTTGCTGTGTTATCTTGGGCAGATGGCTTAACCTTTCTGGGCCTCAATTTCCTCAGTCAGAAAAATGGGGATAATAATATAGCTTACCTCATAGATTTGTTTTGAGAAATTAAGGCTCGATAACATCTTAAGCACTTCACACAGTTCTTAGCACACAACACTTAATAAATGTCAGCTGTGACTGCTGCCTCCTTGGCCATCTAAATTAGTGCAAGTTCGTGGGCCTGAGGCCTAGAAGAAATAAGGTTGGATGCTGAAATAACTTGGCTTTCAGGAAGCAAGAGGTCTTATAATGAATATAATGCCCCTTGTCCTGTTCCCATTGCCTTAAAATAGGCTTCTCTCTCTTCTTCCTTCCATCGACCCAACTCACCCTCCCCAAATTTAACAGGCCATTGCCCTCATATCTGAGCTGACAGAAGAAGCTAAGACACAGCAAATGTTGAGAAAAAGCTCTTGAACTCATTTCAGGTACCCCATATATCTCTCTTGGTCAAAAATGGGTTAACAATTCTATACCTTTTTACAACATTCTGTCTCTTACAGCAGCCTTACCATTGGAGGTTAACATAAGCAATATTTTTTAAAGAGATGGCCACATCATTAGATTCATGAAATACCTCATAGACTATGCAGACGAGTTAACTTACGCTACTGTGAGTTAGGAATATTCAGGGGTGAGAGGTCATGTACAGTTTCCCGGAGTTTTTTGACTGCTGCCCCTTTGTAAGGGAATATCTCATAGGGCTAGAGTTCCTTGGAGAACGCTCTGGGAGACCTTGTCTTACAGGAAAATGGAAAAGGTTTCCAGGATTTGGACAACTTGTTGGTGAATGGGTTAAAGGAAAACCCAGTGTTATATATAAGACATATATGGGAAAGAAAAGAATAAAGATGTTTTTCTCTTTAAAGAAGTAACATAGAGGGTCTTTTCTGCCTCTCCAAAGGAGAACTGAATTTCCAGTGCTTTAGAAAATTGAACTGAATACTCTTCTGCCTCGCTCTGCCCTGCACGCAACTCCACTGTGATTTTCATTTAGTATTTTCCCAAATGAGAGACTTGCTGAGTTTGTCCAAGACTGAGCAATTTCTCAAGAGGCAGGAGGCCATGATTCCTTAATACCAATTCTCCCCGTCATGAATATTTCCAGATATTGATCTTGTCAGCAGGTTACTCTTTCCTGGATCTTCTCATTTCTCTACTCGAGAAGATAGAAAATGCAATCGACCTCACTTCTGTCTCTCTGTCTCTCTCTCTCCGCCTCCCTTTCCTTCTCCATTACCCCACCCCCTATGTCTTCCCCTGCCCTCTAGGCACCTTCTGCATCATCTCACTGTGCACCTGTGTGGCCGGGATCAACTTTGAGCTGTCGCGCTACCCACGCTACCTGTATGGACTCCCCGATGACATCAGCCATGGCTACGGATGGTCCATGTTCTGTGCGTGGGGGGGCCTGGGCCTCACGTTGATCTCGGGATTCTTCTGTACCTTGGCCCCTTCCGTTCAACCTGTCCCGAGGACCAACTGCCCTAAATCCAGACCCGAGAATGGGACAGTGTGCTGAAAACAAACCCATACACACACACACATATATATATATAAATATATATATAATATACATATATAAAACAAAACTGAACCCAGCCGACGCCAGCACCAAGGTAGAGTTGAGTTGGCTCGGGCACCGCATCTCGTCAGACTTCGTGTCGCCTCATCACCAATAGGGGGAAGGCGTACCCGTCGTGTGGCTCTTCCATCAATTCCTAACTTTTGGCTCCATGGTTCCTTGAAGACAGAGCGAACATCACCCCTCACATAGCATCTTGATTCCTGTCACGCATGAGGATGGGGGCTGGGAGGGGATGGCGCCAGTGGGCAGAAGCGGCAAGATGGAGACGGAAGTGCCATCCACTGGGCCACAGGTGAGGACCCCAGCCCAACACCAATCATGTCACAGAGAAACAGAGCCCTTGGTTCATAGGATGTAACCGAATCTTTGAGGCCATACAGAACCACTTCTCCTGTTCTTCCTAATCTGATTTCCTTCCTAGCCCACCAGTGACTCACAAGAAGTGGAAGAGAAAACAGACTGAGAAGGAAGTTTTTCTCTTTGCTGCCAAACTTTGGGACAAAGCTATAGAGGTGGGAAGGGGGAGATAACAATACGCTGAGAGGCAAGATCCACATCAGTCAAAGGACACTTGAGTAAAACCCCGTCTTACCTTCCAGCTGCCTTACCCCAGTTAAACAAGAGGCCACCCTGCCTCTCACCCGCCTGCACCCCCCCGGGGCAGATCGGAGCCTGGGAGCCACCCTGTGAAGGGTGTGTGGGTGTGTGTATGGGCATGTGTGCAGCCACTTTGGGTGGTTTCCTTTTTTCACCTTTTTAAGTGGAAATCCTGCATTATGACTGTTGTCTCTTTATCATTTGTGTGGGCCTCACAGCCCAGGATGGAGGCCCCGTGACCCAGGGAGAATAATGAGGGTCAGGCTTCTCTGGGTGCCAGTTCTGCAGCTGCAGCCCCCTGGCATGTGTGGGGGGCGGGGGTGGTTTCTGAGTGTGGGGTTTTATCGTCTGTGTTGAATTTCTCTATTATTTTGAGTGCAACTGAAATTCCCAGAGAGCAGAGCCAAGAACAGAACCACTGGGCAGAGGCCCCTGTGGCCCATCACATCACAGTTGTGGGACACCACAGGATTTAGTCCTTTAGTTTTAAAAATTCAAGACACAGCTGGGCACAAAAGCCATGACAGAAGAGGGGGAGCAGTTGAGAAGGGAGGAGTGTCCATCTGTTTTTATTGTATAGGTATGTATATCAAACAGGACATCTCACTCCCCATCATGGAGGCTGTCCTTTGTCACTGGACATCTACCCCCTTCCCTAGGGGTGACCTCTGTACAGATGAAGGAAAATGGGTCACGTCCAGAGGACACCTCCATGTCCCATGGGCTCAAGTTTGTATGATATTGTGTAAATCAATGGAGAACTCTTAACTCTTTCTATCTTCTTCCTTTTCCTCTTGATATTCAAGGCCATGAATCCCAAAATAGCCATCTTAGTGGCTAGCACCCAAATAGAGGTGGCATAAATCCAGCCCAGCATCTCAGGCTCATTTGAGCAAATTGCCACTGCAGGTGTTGGCAGGGTACAGAGCCAGAGAGTTGTGAAAGCTGTAGGGACAGGAGTCTGCCAGAAAGAGTAGACAGGAGCCGCTGACAGTCACCTCAGTGACCCTGAGCCGCTGAGCAGCCCCGGGAGGCAAGGAGAGAATCCCCGAGCTGCACAGCCGTGGGTCACCTGTGAGCCAAGAATCCAGTTGCTTCGTAACTAAGTCCTCTTTGGGAAGTTTGCCGCCCACGCACTCTGTTTCATCCACCTGTCTTCTATCTTCTTGTGTCTCCTCCACTTGCTCTCACCTACTAACTACTCACCTTCTCCCTCTCCCGTCCACCAGGCCACAAGTCCTGCCTATCTCCTCATCTGCTCTTTCTGACTGTGTGTGTAAAGTTCACCCCCGGGTAGGACAGCCCATGTGCATGAATAGCCAGAATGTGCGGCCCTGTATGTGAGTATTTCTCTGGCGCATTGTGTGTATGTTTGTGTCAGTAGGTACCTGGATGCAGGTGTGAGTGTTCGATTCAAGACTTCCTTGCCAGTGAGACTGGTCACCTTCTGCAGGCCTCACATGTGGATGTGTGGGGAGAGGAGTTGTGTTGTATAGCAGGAAATCCTGTTAGCTTCTAACTGAGCTTCTAAGGATTTTTTAAGACAAAGGATTTATTCTATGAGGAGGAAAATAATTTTCAGGAAAACCCAGTTTTTCAATTGCATAGGGAATTTTTTAAAATTTTTCTTTGAAAAGTTGGATTTCTCTCTTAAGGGGAAGGGCATACTTGGGCTTGAAGAAAAGTGACAAGTATCTCAGATGGAGAGGCCTGTGTCTTCCTTCTAAGAGCCTTTGGTGGGCTCTGCCAGGCGGGGAGAGGCAGGTGTCCCCACACATCCATTTGGGGCAGAGGGCTAGTCTGCGGCCAGACCCAGATTCCAGCTCTTTTCCTGTTGCAGGAAAATAGGGAGAGAAATTATATATCGGACAATTTGCTATCAATAATTAAACTTTTCTTAAGTAACCATGTTTGAGGATACTGCCTTCACCAGCCTGCCATTATTTATGCCTTCATTTATATCCCATGCTTGCCATAAACAGATCATGCACGCTCTCCAACTACTAGTCTTTATGATAGATTTCTCACGTGGCCTATCCCTTCGAAGCCTTCCTGAAATTTGAGGAAGACTCCAAGGAAAGAAGTAAACCACCTTGACTCAACCCACTGTCGGGGGAGCAGGAGCTTTGAGCTGCTGTTTTGGTAGTGGGACCAGAGAGGTACAGATGCACACACTAGGGGATCTGAACCTGCTTGGGGCCAGTAAAAGCCCAGCTACTAGGCTAGGGTGGGTGCCCCAGAGAACAAGTCCTGGCCAGGGGGAGAACTGTTAGGTGGCCTTGATCCCTCCAGCACAGAGGCCTCACCCCAGATTAAGACATGCTGGTCCAAGCTGTTACTGACACTTTCTTGCTATATGACGTGGCTGAGGAAGAAGAGAAGGAAGAGGGGGCCCCAACCTGCAAGAGACAGTTTAGGCCAGACTCTGCTGACTCCATATCAAAGTAAAAGCCAACCTTCTGGTGGGATATGACTGCGGCAGCCTCACTGAGCACCGAGCCCTCACAAGTGCACACACAGGTCTGTGCCCGTGCCTGTATTCTGAGCTCCCCCAGGTCAGCCCCTCGACCAGGGAGGCCATTTCAGCTTTTATTTCCTTCCTTACTCTATGGGAGTGGGGTGTCGGCCTGGAAAGAGGGCCTATTGCTGTCTCTCTCCGTTCTGGGAGTTCAGGTTTCTTCTTCTGTTTCCTTTTCTCCTCTCCACCCACTGCACTTGCCCTCCGCATCAGCTTTGCACAGTTAGAGCGGTTAGGGGCTGTGTCTCTGGAGAGGCTGACGTACTCCCAGCAGCCCCTTCCTTATCTGCCAGGGCTGTAGGTCTCCTAAGGAGGTCTGCGGCTCCCTGGCATCAAAACAGAAGAAATTTTAAAGTGTGCCTGTTCCAGCTTTAATCCTCCTTCAACCCCTAGCCTTTCAACAGCAGTGCCCTTCCAACTCCGGGGATCCCAGGGTCACAAAGATTCAGCAACTCCACCAAACACAGAGAAGCCCCCCTCAGCCGCACGTCCCAGCGCAGCGCCTGGAGCCCTGGTGCTGCACTAGGTGTTCTCTCGTCACGGGGAGAGGGCTTCCCCCTAGCACGCTTGCCTTCCTTTTGACAAGGGAAGAAGAAGAAATTCCAAAACTGAGTCTGGGCCCTAAGTCTTACTGTCCATCCACAGCCATGAAAAGAGGTCTACAGCGACGGGCCCACACACCGCTGTCCTGATTCCGGGAGGATGGGCCGCTTTGGCCCTAAAGCTGCCCACCGGGGTCAGGTTCAGAATCCTCAGGCACGTCACCCAGAGGCACTTAGAACCAGCTCTGTCTTCACCTGGCTTATTCTGGGCGGGAAGTGACCCTCAAGCCTCTGAGGGGGAAGGAGCCGGAAAACCACACTGTGGTCGGCTTTGGTGCCATTTGTGTGGGATGCTTGGTGGATTCTCGTAGCTTAAGTGAAACTGCTTTTCTGAAAACGTTCCCTCTGCTCCAGGGACCAGCCATCACCCTGGACACATCCAGCCCTTCACAAGTCCCAGTGAGAGGTGATCTCACTGCAGATGAAAACAGTCGGTACACACCAGCCAGGCTGGCTTCTCTGCTGTCGTCTAGGCGGCATAGGTATCATTAATATACAGTTGCATGAGCAACATTACGGTTACTAGACTCCCCCCATTATCAAGTCCCCACCACACACCCCATTACAGTCACTGTCCATCAGTGTAGTGAGATGCTATAGAATCACTACTTGTCTTCTCTGTGCTATACTGCCTTCCCTGTGCCCCCCACCCACTACATTATGTGTGCTAATCCTAAAGAAAGGAACAGATTTCTTTCCCTATAAAGCAGGTCCACCTGAGTTGATGGATGCAGAAGATTCTGGTGTCCCTCAAAGAAGTCAACTCGATGGGCTTTGCCGTCTCTCCACTGATGCCTCCATGGTGCAAATTGTCTCTTAAACATCATTGTTAGTTCTTGCACTACATTTTTATAGGCTATTGAATTTTTTTCCTCTAAATAATACATGCAATACATACATAATAATAGAAAACATACATATTAATAATAAAAATAAAATACAAAAAACAGCTAAAGGTTTGTTCATAATCCCACCACTCTGAGGCATCACAGTGGTTACGGCCCCATCACCCCGCCCTCCCCAGTCAGTGGGTGTCTCTGGGTGGGCAGTCGGCGCCAGGAGTGCCATCCATGACCACAGACCACGCTGACCTGCATGGGGTTGACCCACAGGGCTCAGCACCCACGGAGAGCAAAGAGGCTTTTGAAAAAGCTCAATGCCAGAGCTTAGGGGCAGGGGTGGAACAGAGGTAAAAAATCCCTACTTTGGGATTTCTTTCTTTTTTGTCTTGAGTGCCATGCCAACCTGACGATAGGTGTAAGAGCCCTGAAGCCCGAGTAACTCACTAATTAAGCTGCCCTTGTATAACACAGTTACTGTAATTTCAGCTGTGCACTCAAATGATGTGTGACTCTGGGCACTCTGTCTTCTCCATACTTGAACTGCCTCATCTATAAAATGAGGAGAGTGATAACACTTTACCTCATGGTATATTAAGGGTGACAAAGAGATGGCAAAATGATTTGCGAACATGAAGTGTCACATAAATTATGCACTGTTCAGATCATCCTGCAGCAGCAGAGCCCCCGAGTGGAATCCTTCCAGGCAGTGTCCAGCATCGCTGCGGAAGGCCCCCTGGAGTGAGATGTCCTCTTGGCCCCAGAGCAGGACTGTTTACCCAGTTAAGCACGAGGATTCAATTCCTTCAGGCCCCTCAGAGAAGGGAGTTCTTAACTTACCCATTCTCAGGCTTCCTGCCTTTTGTCCAAAGCCAACTTTGCAAAGCCACTTGTAATCGCTTTTGATTATACCCAGAGGTGATGGAATGCGTAGCATATGGTGCAAACAGCACACGTGAGCTGAAAACAGTTAGCTGTTAACCCAGGCACATGGTCAATGCCTTTTTCTTAAACCATCCTTCTAATACTATTTCTAGCTGTTCATGCTTAAGTGGTGGAAGCAAATCAGATTTTGAAACATTTTAATGGCCTTCTAAGTTTCAGGTGGGGACAAGTTTCAAGGAACTGGGGTCTTTCTTTCTCTTGTCAGTTGGCAAAGCAGCTGGCTTCATCAGAAGCTCATGGGTTCCTAAAGGAAGTCCTCCGGATGGAGCATTCTCTAGCGTTCTGGGGTGATCCTGTTTGGGAAAAAGACAAGGTTGCACTTCCAAGTGGGTCTGCACTCTTTCTGCCTTGCGGAGGATGGGGTTTCAGTGTTATGGTGAGACCTTCTGTAAGGGAAGTCCAGGCCCTTGCTCCCTAGAGGGCCAGTGCCCAACAAGGAACGGCGGAACTGCCCACCTGGAAGGGGTGTTTGTTACTATTAAGAAACAGAAACGGGGTTGCACAGCAGCAGCCCAAACCTGGCCTCGCTTTGACAGACACCAGCCTCGATGTGGCTGGTGTAGACGAGCAATTGCAAGTCCTTCTGTATCATTTCCAGGGACTGGGCGCTGCTCCTTGGAGAAGGCTGTGTCCCTCTCTCCTGTCCCCATTTCTCCCTCTGGCTGGGCCCTTCCCTTCCTTTCCCGGGTGCCTGTAGACCCTTTGTAGCCTGAATGTGTCGGTGTGTCTGTTGTTGTGGATGTAATGATGCCTTTCACAGAAAGAGCTTTCATGAACTCATTCTTACACCCTTTCCCATTTCCACCCGTGGTGTGACTCTTTTGCTATCCAAGACTATCTGTAAAAATGTACAAATAAAAATTGAAGCTGAAAATAGGGGGAGGGAATCAAGACTGATCAAATGCATTGATGTAGCCCTCAGTTTTCTGAGGACTTAGGGGACTGCCCTGAAATCCTGACTCTGGGTGGGATTTGAAGGGAGGGAAGCCATTGGCACAGAAGTTTTTTTCTGGTTGTTTCTGAGAGTCCCTAGTGTCTGCTTGGAACTCTCTGTTCTGAAGGTTTTTGCTTTTAAAGTTCAATGTTTTCCAAAAAGTGAAAGGAGGTCATCAAACTCTGCAGGGTGAAGGTCATCCCCAAGGTTAACACGGAGAACAGCTCCTGGGGTCGCTTTAGCAACTTGGTCTCTGGCTCACTCGGGACCTGCATCGAATCTTCTTACCTCACTATGTCCCAGCGTCCTCTCAGCCAAACGGAGCAGGGGGACTTTCGGGGCTCCTGGGGCACCAAGTCTCCTTGGCCATTCTGCGGCTGTTTTTAGAGAGGCTCCACACCCGTTCTGGTGTGCGTGCTGCACCGAGGTCCATTCTGAGAGCTTCCCCCCAGCTGCTCTAGCCGCGCTCTTTCACTCCTCAGAGAGTAACCTCAAGCTCACAGCCAGTTTGTGCTCGGAGTCCAAGCCTTTGACCTACCTTTTCATTCTCAGATGCCTTTTCCCACCCACTTTGATGATCCCCTTTTAAGGACAGAGCTTTGCCTCTGGGGTAGGAGAAAGGGTATCAAAGGAGATGCTGATATGCATTGCTTTGTAATCTCGGAGCTAGAACACAGCTTGTGATGGCAAACGCCGGTTGTCCGGCTGCGGGATGCTTCCAAGCTGGAATGAAGAAAGCATTGGTGGGTGGTGGGGTAGAGGCAGTGGGCAGCAGATGCAGGTTGGCAGTGGAGGTAAGATGAACCTTTTGGAAAGGGAAATGGTAGAATCACCAGAGTGTCCTTAGCATGGCAGCAGAGAAGGGCCCCCAAAAGGCAGGGCACCCTGAAGTAAGAGGAAGTAGGAAAGAGGAACAGGGAATGGGTAATACTGTAGCACAAAGATCTGCCTCCCCCAGCACTGAGAAGAGTAGGTGTCCCGGGGGGTTCCCACCAGCTAGGCAGTGGGCTAACCCCTCACTCCCCATGGTACCTCCCCTCCCACCCTTTGTCCTCTCTGATGCCCCATGGTGATCATCTCTGAGACCAGCTTTGGGAAGGCAGTTTGGACCAGTGATGCCAGCAGAGATGTAAGCTACATATGCGATGTTAAATATTCTAGTAGCTCCCTTTTTATAATTCCAAAGCAACAGGTGAAGCTAATCTTAACACATAACTTAACCTAACATATCAAAAATACCATTTCAACATGGAATCAGTATAAAAAGTTACAGAAATATTTTACCCTCTTTTTTTAATGAAGTCTTTGAAATCCAATATGAATTTTATTCTTAGAAAACATATCAGTTTTTTGAGTTGTTTTTTTCCAGCCACATTTCCTGTGCTCAACAGCCATATGTGGCTATTGGCTGCCATATAGGACAGCAAAGATTTCGACTCTGTTAGGAAACAGAATGGGATCCCCTGCCCCATGAGTCATTCAGATCTCAGAGCTGGCAGGCTAGGGGTGAGAGCTGGCCCAGAGTGGAAAGCACAGGAGCCACGTTCAGGCCGCTATCCTGGCCGCTGGAAGTTCTGCTTCACCTGCTTAGTCACAGGAAAGGGCCACTGGTTGGCAATACACGTCACATCTGCCCCAGAGGGTGTCAGCATGGCCCCAGGGTATGGTGTGGATGACTTGAAGTTCTAGAGGCCAAAGCAGGTCACTTCTTCAGTTATAAGAGCATCAACTATCCCTTATCCCAATGCACTGTGTCTTCCAGTGGAGACAGAGGGCAGACAGGCCTTCTCTTGGTCAAGCATTCAGATCTCCACAGCCTTTTGCCGTCTGGTCCTGTCCCCTCGTAATAACATCTCACTGACATTTGGAGTTGTTTTCTCAAATCCTTAATGTCCTTAAATTTATATCTTAATGTCAAATGCTAACAGGGGATATGCTGGGAAGAGCAGGGGCCTGGGCAGACTGAGTCTCCTAGGTGGCAGTGGCAAGCTCCGTCCCTCCTCTCTGCCCAGAGACCTTCCTTAGATTTGAAGAAACTTCTTTGGTTGGGGTGGGGCGAAGACAAGAAGCAAGATCTTAGCAGAGAGAGTAAAGTGCAAGCAAGCAATCCCTGGGCATTCTGAAAGCACTTCACAGTGACAAGGTTTGGCTGGTTTAAAATGCATTTTGAGCCCTGTGTTCTGAGTAAAAGAAAACGAGCTGATTTGGTGAGTATGTTTTATATATGGTCATTAGACAGGTACCATGGCCAACAAAACTCTCAAACACCTGGAGTGCTTATGGTCCACCAGATTATTGCTCAGTCAGTATAAATTTATTTATGTTTAATTTGCATAGTGCTTTCTGATTGGTTAGACAAGGGTGGCGTGTACTGCAGGGTTCCTGCAACACCTCTGCCCCCGGAGGTAGCAAGTCCTGTGGTTATTGGTGCTAAAATAAGATTAAATATTATGTTAATTTGTTCTGATACCATGTGAATAAATGTGTTGTTTAATCTTAACAAGAATGCTACATCTTATCAGATCTATTGTACTGTCTGTTCCTTCTCATAATTAATTAATTACAGGAAAGGTGATCCTAACCAGATCTTGAAAGGATTGTGCTATTCTGAGAGGTGAATTTGACAGGGAGGGGTGGGGGGATGAAAAGGGAAATTGCCAGGTTCCTGTGACTTTGCAAGGACTAAGGAAGCAAGGAGCATTTGGGGACTTCACTGACACTGACTGCATCTTGCAATTTTCTTTTTCAAATTGGCAGAAATATTGTATTTCCATCGATTGAAGAAAAAAGTGTCTGGTAATTAATTAAATGACTTGTTCATGGAAAAAAAAATAATCTGTCAGTTGTGGAATGTAAACTGATTAAACAATTAAATAAAGAAGATCATGTTGTGTGTTTTAAGTGATTGTGTCTGCTTGAAGAAGGGGGAATGCTAGTATATTTGACAGAGAACGATATTTTTCCCTCAGGTTTTGTATAGAAAAAAAATAGGACAACTCTTATGTAGATAACAGACTAAAGACTAATCCTGGAGGAAATAGTAAGCGTTTCAAGCATGTGTAAGCCAAAGGTATGTGCTTTCAGAGCTGGGTGAGAGGGAAAAAAAAAGAGAAGTATTCAGAATAGAACAAAAAGGAAACTATTGTTCCTTTTCTCCTGTGGCTGGCATTAGTACCTTTGTAGAAAAAGCATAATGAGATGTTGGCATTACTGGGGACCCCCTGACCCCTCAGCCTATTTCCTAGCTGTCAGTGAGGAGAGAAGTTTCTCTCACAGTCATCTTCATCTGTTTTCACTGGAGTCCAAGCCTTTGACCTACCTTTTCATTCTCAGATGCCTTTTCCCACCCACTTTGATGATCCCCTTTTAAGGACAGAGCTTTGCCTCTGGGGTAGGAGAAAGGGTATCAAAGGAGATGCTGATATGCATTGCTTTGTAATCTCGGAGCTAGAACACGGCTTGTGATGGCAAACGCCGGTTGTCCGGCTGCGGGATGCTTCCAAGCTGGAATGAAGAAAGCATTGGTGGGTGGTGGGGTAGAGGCAGTGGGCAGCAGATGCAGGTTGGCAGTGGAGGTAAGATGAACCTTTTGGAAAGGGAAATGGTAGAATCACCAGAGTGTCCTTAGCATGGCAGCAGAGAAGGGCCCCCAAAAGGCAGGGCACCCTGAAGTAAGAGGAAGTAGGAAAGAGGAACAGGGAATGGGTAATACTGTAGCACAAAGATCTGCCTCCCCCAGCACTGAGAAGAGTAGGTGTCCCGGGGGGTTCCCACCAGCTAGGCAGTGGGCTAACCCCTCACTCCCCATGGTACCTCCCCTCCCACCCTTTGTCCTCTCTGATGCCCCATGGTGATCATCTCTGAGACCAGCTTTGGGAAGGCAGTTTTGACCAGTGATGCCAGCAGAGATGTAAGCTACATATGCGATGTTAAATATTCTAGTAGCTCCCTTTTTATAATTCCAAAGCAACAGGTGAAGCTAATCTTAACACATAACTTAACCTAACATATCAAAAATACCATTTCAACATGGAATCAGTATAAAAAGTTACAGAAATATTTTACCCTCTTTTTTTAATGAAGTCTTTGAAATCCAATATGAATTTTATTCTTAGAAAACATATCAGTTTTTTGAGTTGTTTTTTTCCAGCCACATTTCCTGTGCTCAACAGCCATATGTGGCTATTGGCTGCCATATAGGACAGCAAAGATTTCGACTCTGTTAGGAAACAGAATGGGATCCCCTGCCCCATGAGTCATTCAGATCTCAGAGCTGGCAGGCTAGGGGTGAGAGCTGGCCCAGAGTGGAAAGCACAGGAGCCACGTTCAGGCCGCTATCCTGGCCGCTGGAAGTTCTGCTTCACCTGCTTAGTCACAGGAAAGGGCCACTGGTTGGCAATACAGGTCACATCTGCCCCAGAGGGTGTCCGCATGGCCCCAGGGTATGGTGTGGATGACTTGAAGTTCTAGAGGCCAAAGCAGGTCACTTCTTCAGTTATGAGAGCATCAACTATCCCTTATCCCAATGCACTGTGTCTTCCAGTGGAGACAGAGGGCAGACAGGCCTTCTCTTGGTCAAGCATTCAGATCTCCACAGCCTTTTGCCGTCTGGTCCTGCCCCCTCGTAATGACATCTCACTGACATTTGGAGTTGTTTTCTCAAATCCTTAATGTCCTTAAATTTATATCTTAATGTCAAATGCTAACAGGGGATATGCTGGGAAGAGCAGGGGCCTGGGCAGACTGAGTCTCCTAGGTGGCAGTGGCAAGCTCCGTCCCTCCTCTCTGCCCAGAGACCTTCCTTAGATTTGAAGAAACTTCTTTGGTTGGGGTGGGGCGAAGACAAGAAGCAAGATCTTAGCAGAGAGAGTAAAGTGCAAGCAAGCAATCCCTGGGCATTCTGAAAGCACTTCACAGTGACAAGGTTTGGCTGGTTTAAAATGCATTTTGAGCCCTGTGTTCTGAGTAAAAGAAAACGAGCTGATTTGGTGAGTATGTTTTATATATGGTCATTAGACAGGTACCATGGCCAACAAAACTCTCAAACACCTGGAGTGCTTATGGTCCACCAGATTATTGCTCAGTCAGTATAAATTTATTTATGTTTAATTTGCATAGTGCTTTCTGATTGGTTAGACAAGGGTGGCGTGTACTGCAGGGTTCCTGCAACACCTCTGCCCCCGGAGGTAGCAAGTCCTGTGGTTATTGGTGCTAAAATAAGATTAAATATTATGTTAATTTGTTCTGATACCATGTGAATAAATGTGTTGTTTAATCTTAACAAGAATGCTACATCTTATCAGATCTATTGTACTGTCTGTTCCTTCTCATAATTAATTAATTACAGGAAAGGTGATCCTAACCAGATCTTGAAAGGATTGTGCTATTCTGAGAGGTGAATTTGACAGGGAGGGGTGGGGGGATGAAAAGGGAAATTGCCAGGTTCCTGTGACTTTGCAAGGACTGAGGAAGCAAGGAGCATTTGGGGACTTCACTGACACTGACTGCATCTTGCAATTTTCTTTTTCAAATTGGCAGAAATATTGTATTTCCATCGATTGAAGAAAAAAGTGTCTGGTAATTAATTAAATGACTTGTTCATGGAAAAAAAAATAATCTGTCAGTTGTGGAATGTAAACTGATTAAACAATTAAATAAAGAAGATCA